CTGTTATTCCTGCGTTTTACACTTTGCTTTTGCCACCAGCAGATGGTGACGGCATACAGTAATGCTAGTCAGATAATCACATGTGGTGTAAAAATTATTTTCAGGCTCAAAAAGGATAAGGTAAACACTTTCAGGATTAACGCCTGGTCTTTTTGGGGTTTTTTTTTTATAGACATATTAATTGTCAATGGTTCTATAAAAAAAAAGCTACTTTATCTTACATCAACAAATGCTTATTACTTAGTAGTTTGGTTTATAGTCTGTGATCAAAATCTTTATGGCTCACAATGGACTGGGCAAGCAATTTTTATTTTTCTATTTTCATAAAAAACGCAATAGATACCTTTTTTGGAATGCTTGACTTTTTAACTTGTTTATTCAACTAAGCAAGTTGAATAAGTTGATTGCAGGAAAGTTTTTCCGTTATTGTTTCAAGCAAAGAACATACTTTACAAATGAAAATTTAATTAAAAATCCAATTTAGAAATGACACTTGGAAAAAGTTGTTAATCAATAAAATGTTTTGAGTTAACTCTGAAAATCTGGTAGGAACCATAGGCCATCAGACAGGAACCCACCGCTGCATATTTCACAGCAGATGGGGCTGAGCAGACCTACCTGTGACTGTTTTGGTCTTCATGGGGCTGCTTGCATAGTCTGATGCCTGATTGGAGGGCTGTATGCCCAGTGGTGCACTCCCCACAGACACTTCATCTTCTCTCCTCTTGGCCAAAGGAACTGGACCTGGATTCTGTAAAGATATCACAGCATGACTGAAAACTGATGATCACATAAAAATAAAATAAACTTCTAAGAACGTTTCATTTTTCTTTGCTCTCTTTCTGAGGATAACAGGACAGGAGAAAATGTGAAACTTAGGAGAACGATACCTGGACTGAGACCATCGCTTAAAGGTTTAGCTTAATATTTTGCTTTTTTTCCTTTGTTTATTTTGTGCATTAGAGGGGTGATAGAATGATTCTATAGGGTATCTGGTGCTGGTCCTTAAGGTCTCTGAATAGGGTGTGTAACATTGGTTGGGCTGAAAATGGCATATTTGCTGTTCTCTGAGCCCTAATGCAAGCCTGGTTAAAAGCCCTAGAATGAAACGACAGGTTTTCGTCCTTTTATGGTATGATCAAGAATATTTAGATGAGCTGTGCTCTGATTGAGCGAAGCTGCTGAGCAAAGACGCATCATAGCATCAAGCACTCAATTACTGAAACATCAAATTGTTGATATGGTAGGGTGACCAGACGTCCTCTTTTTCCCGGACATGTACTACTTTTCATAATTAAAAAAATGTCCGGGGGGAATTTTAAAATCGTCCGGGATTTTAGTCGACTATAGTGCACCATCTGCTGTAAAATGAGTCTTATATTTTTGGGTTTTTTTTTTACTGGAGGATTCAACCTTTCCTGTAAAAAAAAGAAAAACAACCCACTGGACTAGGTTTCCAAGTTTTAATAAGTTTCGCTTCCCATCTAGGAAGCTTTTTCAATTCGCTTCCTGGATGGGAAGAAAAACGTCTTCAAGCTTGGAAACCAAGTCCGGGGATTGTTTTGAATCTCTTATGGAATGCCAATGACCTGGATGACTGAGAACCTTCACCAGCAGGATTTAGCCTATTTCACGGGATGCACAGCTTTGAGTGGTAACTAGG